CTCTCCCCTCTCCCGGGGAGACCCATGTGACCAGTTATGGAAGTGAGCAAGTACAATTATAAATGTGTGTGTACATGTATGTTTGTATGTGTGTGTGTGTGTGTGTGTGTGTGTGTGTGTGTGTGTGTGTGTGTGTGTGCGCGTGTATGTATGTGTGTGTGTGTGTTTGTGTGTGTGTGTGTTGTGTGTGTGCGTGTGTGTATAAATGTGTGCACTTGTGCATGCGTGTGTGTAGGCACGGGTGTATTTTCTTGTTCGTTACTCTCGTTTTCTCAGGAGGCGGCCAGCTGAGACACTATAGTTGTGGTGATGAAAGTTGGGCAATGATGAATACAAGCAAAAGGCTGTTCAAAGAATTTCCAACCACAACCCTGCAGACCGGGAGCCAAATGAACAGGACCTCGACCAGCTTCAATTACATCTGAACATGTTTCTATAAGGAAGAGTTGACAAGGTACCTGAACATTACAATGACTCTTGCCATCTTGAAAGAACACTCCGCATGCGCACACACGCGAACGTTTTTTTGTGCTTGTTGGCCCGCACACTGCTTGGCGTTTAGAATATACATATGCCCTGTGTTACTGTGCAGATACATGGTGTCTGGTATAGCGAAATATGACAAGCACTTCATTGTATTGGGATGAGTGGCCTTTTGGATTATAATGGAACTTGTACTTCACTCCTATGAATAAGATACTGCCAGGCTGCCAAGGATGTGCACACTCGACTGCTTTGGTCACGGGAACAAATCCGCTGGCCCGCACTCCACCGGATTATATACTGCATTGCATTGCTGGTGCCAATGTAGTGTACAGTCAGTATGGCCTATAGCGTTGGTGTTTGATTTTGAGCATTTTATCACTATAAGCGATATATTACTATGACCGATACTGCATGCAATGTATGCGAGTGGGGTGTCAAACGACTCAGCGCGCCGTGCAGATACGCACTACATACATGTACAATGTCATGTAGCTGGCTGTAGCTCCTGACACAGAAAATCAGCATTTCCTCATGATGGAGGCATATTTTGGCAACTTGTACGAGCAAAACTCACCAAACAACACTCACTGGACAAGTTCTTCACGAAGAAGTAACACCCTGTTCTCCTCTAACATCGCTTGATTTTACATCAGTCACTATAACCGATGCAAAAATAATGTAATAAAGGTCTTTTGAAATATGAATTTGATCACTATAGGCGATATATTACTATAGACGATTATTACTATACGCGATAACTGTGTATACTTAGTTATGGCAAATGAAAATGAATTTGAGAAATTGATCACTATATCCGGTATATTACTATAGCCGCCAACCTTATAGGCGATACAGACTGTACTTTATGTATGGAGATTTGTGATGACCTTGGTGTACGCTATTTACTGTTGCTAACGGGCAAAACTCCTACTCGGTCTAGACAAAACCTTGTAAATTTAAGTTTCCAACTTTTGATACCTCAGCCAAGATTGCCATGTCCAGCACGGTGAGATAGATAAGTGGAGATAGATTTTAAAAGATGGCAATAAACAGAATCAGCTGACATTTCAAATCGGAGATACATGTCAAAATTTACTCCTTTTGTACATGGAGAGAGAGGGGGGAGAGAGAGAGAGAGGGGGGGGGGGGGGGGGGAGAGAGACAGAGAGACAGAGATCAATCAGCAAGCCGGAGAAGAGACTTCTAAGATTTTCTTCTCCGCTAGAATTTTCCTGCTTGTTTATCCTTCCTCATGCAGAAACAACAAGAGTGAAGCCATCAGCAGGCCAAGAAGCAAACACTTGCTGCTCTCTGATTGGTCGAGGGCGGTTGGCCAGTCATTTCAAGTGTGAAGTGAAGAGCCAGGATAGGCTATAAAGGTAATCATTCCAGGAGGGGATGGAGGTCGGGGTTTGGGATGGCCAGAATTTTAGATTTTCTTCTCAAGGCCTGTTTCTCCTTCCTCATGAAGAAGCAAACACTTGCTGCTCTCTGATTTTAGATTTTCTTCTCAAGGCCTGTTTCTCCTTCCTCATGAAGAAGCAAACACTTGCTGCTCTCTGATTTTAGATTTTCTTCTCAAGGCCTGTTTCTCCTTCCTCATGAAGAAGCAAACACTTGCTGCTCTCTGATTTTAGATTTTCTTCTCAAGGCCTGTTTCTCCTTCCTCATGAAGAAGCAAACACTTGCTGCTCTCTGATTTTAGATTTTCTTCTCAAGGCCTGTTTCTCCTTCCTCATGAAGAAGCAAACACTTGCTGCTCTCTGATTTTAGATTTTCTTCTCAAGGCCTGTTTCTCCTTCCTCATGAAGAAGCAAACACTTGCTGCTCTCTGATTTTAGATTTTCTTCTCAAGGCCTGTTTCTCCTTCCTCATGAAGAAGCAAACACTTGCTGCTCTCTGATTTTAGATTTTCTTCTCAAGGCCTGTTTCTCCTTCCTCATGAAGAAGCAAACACTTGCTGCTCTCTGATTTTAGATTTTCTTCTCAAGGCCTGTTTCTCCTTCCTCATGAAGAAGCAAACACTTGCTGCTCTCTGATTTTAGATTTTCTTCTCAAGGCCTGTTTCTCCTTCCTCATGAAGAAGCAAACACTTGCTGCTCTCTGATTTTAGATTTTCTTCTCAAGGCCTGTTTCTCCTTCCTCATGAAGAAGCAAACACTTGCTGCTCTCTGATTTTAGATTTTCTTCTCAAGGCCTGTTTCTCCTTCCTCATGAAGAAGCAAACACTTGCTGCTCTCTGATTTTAGATTTTCTTCTCAAGGCCTGTTTCTCCTTCCTCATGAAGAAGCAAACACTTGCTGCTTTCTGATTTTAGATTTTCTTCTCAAGGCCTGTTTCTCCTTCCTCATGAAGAAGCAAACACTTGCTGCTCTCTGATTTTAGATTTTCTTCTCAAGGCCTGTTTCTCCTTCCTCATGAAGAAGCAAACACTTGCTGCTCTTTGATTTTAGATTTTCTTCTCAAGGCCTGTTTCTCCTTCCTCATGAAGAAGCAAACACTTGCTGCTCTCTGATTTTAGATTTTCTTCTCAAGGCCTGTTTCTCCTTCCTCATGAAGAAGCAAACACTTGCTGCTCTCTGATTTTAGATTTTCTTCTCAAGGCCTGTTTCTCCTTCCTCATGAAGAAGCAAACACTTGCTGCTCTCTGATTTTAGATTTTCTTCTCAAGGCCTGTTTCTCCTTCCTCATGAAGAAGCAAACACTTGCTGCTCTCTGATTTTAGATTTTCTTCTCGAGGCCTGTTTCTCCTTCCTCATGAAGAAGCAAACACTTGCTGCGCTCTGATTTTAGATTTTCTTCTCAAGGCCTGTTTCTCCTTCCTCATGAAGAAGCAAACACTTGCTGCTCTCTGATTTTAGATTTTCTTCTCAAGGCCTGTTTCTCCTTCCTCATGAAGAAGCAAACACTTGCTGCTCTCTGATTTTAGATTTTCTTCTCAAGGCCTGTTTCTCCTTCCTCATGAAGAAGCAAACACTTGCTGCTCTCTGATTTTAGATTTTCTTCTCAAGGCCTGTTTCTCCTTCCTCATGAAGAAGCAAACACTTGCTGCTCTCTGATTTTAGATTTTCTTCTCAAGGCCTGTTTCTCCTTCCTCATGAAGAAGCAAACACTTGCTGCTCTCTGATTTTAGATTTTCTTCTCAAGGCCTGTTTCTCCTTCCTCATGAAGAAGCAAACACTTGCTGCTCTCTGATTTTAGATTTTCTTCTCAAGGCCTGTTTCTCCTTCCTCATGAAGAAGCAAACACTTGCTGCTCTCTGATTTTAGATTTTCTTCTCAAGGCCTGTTTCTCCTTCCTCATGAAGAAGCAAACACTTGCTGCTCTCTGATTTTAGATTTTCTTCTCAAAGCCTGTTTCTCCTTCCTCATGAAGAAGCAAACATTTGCTGCTCTCTGATTGGCCGAGGGCGGTTGGCCAGTCATTTCAGGTGTGAAGTGCAGTGCCAGGATAGGCTATAAAAGTAATCATTCCAGGAGGGGATGGTGGTCGGGGTTTGGGATGGTCAGAATTTTAGATTTTCTACTCCAGGCTTGTTTCTCCTCCCTCATGCAGAAACAACAAGAGTTCAGACATTCCTCCCTCTTGCAGAAAAAACAAGAGTTCAGGCATTCATTTTAGATTTCTTCTCCAGGCTTGTTTCTCCTCCGTCATGCAGAAACAAGAGTCCAGATCATTTTACATTTTCTTCTCCAGGCTTGTTTCTCCTCCCTCATGCAGAAACAAAAAGAGTTCAGACATTCCTCCCTCATGCAGAAACAACAAGAGTTCAGACATTCCTCCCTCATGCAGAAACAATAAGAGTTCAGACATCAGCATGCCAAGAAGAAAACACTTGCTGAATTTTAGATTTTCTACTCCAGGCTTGTTTCTCCTCCCTCATGCAGAAACAAGAGTTCAGACATTCCTCCCTCTTGCAGAAAAACAAGAGTTCAGACATTCATTTTAGATTTCTTCTCCAGGCTTGTTTCTCCTCCCTTATGCAGAAACAACAAGAGTCCAGACATTCATTTTAAATTTTCTTCTCCAGGCTTGTTTCTCCTCCCTCATGCAGAAACAAAAAGAGTTCAGACATTCCTCCCTCATGCAGAAACAACAAGAGTTCAGACATTCCTCCCTCATGCAGAAACAATAAGAGTTCAGACATCAGCAGGCCAAGAAGGAAACACTTGCTGAACTCTGATTGGCTGAGGGCGGTTGACCAGTAATTTCAGAATTCTCTCCGCCGGCTTAGAGAATTCTAAAATTCAGTCAGAGTTCAGTATGAGGAAGTAGGAAGGACTGTTTTCGGTGTCACAGTGTCTCTAGCTGGCATGGTTTTGAGCAACACTCTACCTGAAGCAGGAACGCATACCCTAGTACCCAATCATAACCCTATTTCAAACAGCACTCGAGCCAGATATCCAAATATCTCCTTTCTGCCATCGCTCACACTCACACACACACACCTGACTGCTAACAATAGAATTGTACCGCACAACTACACGAATATGACAGTAGCATAGGGTGTACATTCCAAGCGGCAGGAAGGCCCCCGAGGCCCTGCACAGTACAATGCCGCAGAAGCATGGTACACTGCACCTTACAAGCTACGATGTCACATCCAATCACGCAGCTCTCCCGGCATTAGAATTTAATAAGCTGTAAACTGCGGAGTGGTTGACGATAGGGGAAGCATACATGTTGCGCTCCTTGTAAGGCCATGGTGTACAAGCAGTCATGCTGGCAACTGTTAGTTTCATGCGGGGAGCATCTCCTCAGCGCACACACACACACATGCACACACATGCACAAGCACACTGCTATGACATAACGACGACCGTAATCCACACACAACAACCAAGATAGCGGCAACAAGCGGCAACAACCAAGATAGCGGCAACAAGCGGCAACAACCAAGATAGCGGCAACAAGGGGCAACAAGCGGCAAACAAGCAGCACACTAAGAAAAATATTTTTTTCAGACACATGCAAAATTAAAGGTTGATCGTTGATGTCCACTGCATCACTGTAGATGTTTGCAGCAGCAATAGCTTGCATTACAGTGGCCAACAGTTCAGTCCGATGCACGTCTGAAGGCAAAGAAAAATATCACACGAATACAGTGGAACATAGATTATCCCCACATCATCTATCCGCAAGATCAAGTATCGGAATGGCAGCCGGAAGGCCGATTACCTGGAACGGCAGTTCCTCCAAAGTTTCGAAAAATAAAAGCAATAAAAGATGCACAATGCAGTACTCGAGTTCACCAGTGCAGTCGTGTAGTCTGTAGATATACCAGGTAAGTGTGTGCTGCTGAATGCCCGTCGTCAATGCATGGTGGTATGCATTTTCGATGATGAAACTGTATGGCATGCATGTACATAGTCCTTGTATGAGCCCGATGTCACTCTCTCATTATACGCACATTTTCCCCATCTGAGCTCCTTCTGAACGTCTGCCCAGAAGGGTTGGGATATGATTGACGCTTAAGTACAAAATGAGAATTTGACATGTTCTTGTAGCCTGGCAACCCCGGCGGCAACCCTGTTCTACCATAAAGTCCAGTCAATAGATCACCATCACCATCACCATCCCCATCACCATCCCCATCCCCATCACCATCCCCATCTCCATCACCATCACCATCACCATCACCGTCCCCATCCCCATCCCCATCCCCATCCCCATCCCCATCCCCATCCCCATCACCATCCCCATCCCCATCCCCATCACCATCCCCATCACCATCCCCATCACCATCCCTGCTGCTGCCGTGTCAGGGACTCCCAGCTCTGCATCACAGCATGTGTGATGTGGGAGTTTAGATTGAGTTACTCATCTGCAGTACCGTCTACGGTATATTATACAATGAAATACAGAAGACCATCTCTTCGGAGAGTACCATACTGGACTGGTTATGTACAGTTCCACCCACCAGTATCACGGGCTGAACTGGCTAGCATGTGCTATGCGCAGGCCGCAAACTAAAGCCCGTCCGTCGACAATATTCTGCCTCAATTTCTAGGTGATTTCTTTGCCCTTCGAGTGGACAAAATAGATTCGAAAAATCGCTCTGGGAAGCGACAATTTTAATGAAGGTGGAGGAAGTAGATAAAAAAACTTCACACCTAGCGTGACATAGTAGAACAAGTAGCAGCCAGTCGCAGCTGCCGCACAAGGACAGTACCCGACACAGTCATGACTGGTTTTGGCATGCATCAGTGCTAGTAATATATTTATCCATCACAACTTGACATACGTCAGTGCCAACATTATTCCATTACTTATCCCTCACATTAACTGTGGGTCGCAGCACGGCTGGAAAAAATCCTTCCGCTTCAGTTAATTGGGAACTCGTGGCCTGGCACGAGGAAAACATGGATGCAGTGAATGGGATTTTCGGTCTTTGACCCTTGCTGGTGAGCTGATCTACTCACCTCCCACCGCTTTAGGAGCTGCATCTGCGCCTTGATCCTTGAAGGGTGGTGGCGTTCCTACGGATGCGGAAAACCCGGCTTCCAGCCGAGTCTCACGCGAACCGTGAAATTTTTTATATATATATATTTTTTTATCCCTCACATCATCCATAACATCTGTGTGATATTGGCCTTCATTCGTTGAATCGAGTAGAGCAATGACAATCTAAGCGCTAAGTATCACGCATGATCTGATTCATAATGACTAGTCTTAGGTTTTTAGTATCAGTTGTCTGATGATTGCAGTGGCATGAAACTTTGAGTTACGACAAATCCAAACTGGACCTATTTCACTTTTTTCGTGTTCTTGTAAGCAGGGGTGTTCAAGCAAGGCGACGTGAGCACTTCCACAGCATATTACTAGTATGGCATTCGCCAGGCTCACACAGAATGAAATGGCCAGGTTATTCTAGAGAACCTCGTTTGAAGCACCATTGACAATAATTATCACTATTCTGTGATGCGACATATGACATACGATACTCGCGACAAGGAAATGCTCATTGCGTATAGTCACATGCAGTCGCAGGGCCACTGCCACAGTAGTTAACCTTTTGAGCACGCGTGACGTTCTGACACGTCATGGCCACTGCCACTGTGACACGCGTGACGTTCTAGAACGTCACGAGTCAGTGCGGAACTACATCGATACCGCGTTTCTTCTGTGGCGTGGCGTCGAGCTGTACCGCTGCACAGAGGACTCTTAGGATTTACAAGTACAGTAACAACAAAAATGCGAGTCGCTCCGTACGTTTGAACTGGAGTTACATGCACGTGCATACATTTCAAAATACCAATTTCGCGTAAAACTACCTTTATGGAAACGGTCATAACTTTTGTAATCTGTGTTGTATTTCCGAAACAAAAACAGTTCTGTGCTCAGGATACATGAAAGAATTGTTCGAAATCAAGTTTGCTCACATAGAGTGATTTTATAAATTTTACTGCGTGGCAGAGGTTTTCAATGGGCCCGGGCTCAAAAGGTTAACCAAAGTGTTATTTTTCGTTGGCTGAGCGTAGCGAATGAAACGAAAAATGTATTTTTGCCAGCATTTTCACCATAGTTACGGCACCAGGATTGCGTCAGCTGGTTTTTTGTCGGTGTTCTCAAACTTTTCTCTTCATCGTGGTCTTTCTCTTTTCGTTGTAGTTTCCCACCCGCCCTCCCGTTTATTCTCACTTCGGGATAGGTCCTGCAGGCTACGTTTTGTTCAATGGAAGTTTCCGGAGGAGGAAGGAGGAAACTGTAGTTATCACCAACCCTCACCGCGCCCAGCTCACGCCGCTACGGCGTGCGACCTGAGCTGGGCGCCCTGCCCAGTATGGAACTGTCCTCAAGCCAGTCACGTATTTGGCAGCCCAGTGAGCTGTCTACCGGATCGCAGCGTTTAGAAGCGCCAAATGCGGCAGGGCCAGTCTCAGGCTGGTCGCGTATAGGCGGCAGGCCGGCGGTCGACCGGCAAGGCTGCATTCGCATTTGGATCACCGAAGTGATACGGGTGCTTCGACGGCACTCCGTGGCGCATCAAGGAGGCATCTGGGGCCCAGGCAGCCCGCCCGTAAGCGCACCACCGTATCAGGTATGCGCAGGTGGAGCAGCAGAACAAGATGTGTGCCGGACACTCACCATCATCCGGTCGACTGCATGGTTGTGCGACTTTACACAGCCGTCACTCATTACTTGCTATTGCTTGCAGAAGGCCAGAATTTTTTTTTCTTTTTTCGCTCTTTCCCTTCTTCCAGGCACGGCTTCATGTTAGAGCAGTAAATTGCAGTTAGGGACTCAGCTGAGTCAAGCTGGACTCAGCGTGTCAAGTTTGGCATAACACAATAAGCGCGCTATCCCCAAACAGTTGTGTGGTTATTGTGTGAGTGTATATGCAGGAGTCCGCGGTCACGTGAGGGGGGAGTGATAATTTATCTTATGGGATTATTCTAACCGGATTTTCCTCAGGGTTGTGCCTCCGCCGGGGTCCTGAGGTTTTTTCCGCCAGCTTCGGGCTGGTTAATTATCCGGCGGCCCCATTCGCCACAGTGGTTCACTTCTTGCATCATGTTGGTCTGGTACATACGTGTACATGTATATGCGTGAGGTGGCATGCTCATCTATACACTACGCTCTTCCATCTCTTATCGTGAGTGAACAAAGACCACACTACTACGCTACTACTGTGATCTGTATCTTTCTGTTGTGTGTGGGTGTGTCTGCGGTGTACGCAGAGGCCAGCTAGCTGGCAAAAAGTGCAACTTTTGCGACTTCCTGCGTGTTTTACCAGATAAGCCTCACACAGAATTGCAGTATATTGAGGAACGTACAGCTGGACTTGGAGAAATCCTACCGGAAGTGCAAAGCTGGCATCCCCAAGCCGGTTCCACGTACGTCACCAGAACGTTGGGTGTATGTAGCCAACTGTACCCACCCTGTGCAGAAGCTTTGGGTGCACATGTTGCACGACTCGAATCGTGTACGTTTTACACTTCGGTGCCATACATGCGTATGAGTATGAGTAGATGCGCACGTACGTAGCTAGAGTACAGTACATACCTAGAGTACAGTACATAGCTAGAGTACCGTACGTAGCTAGAGTACCGTACGTAGCTAGAGTACAGTACATAGCTAGCCTGAGCAGTGCAGACATGACCATAGAAGAGTTTATACTATGCACATGCACACCAGTAATTGTACAACTAAAGCACGATGCACAATATCACTTCTCCGAGGCGATGAGCGTCGAGCGAAAGTCTTTTCATATCGTGCAAAGAATCTTCGATGCACAATGCACGGCACATCGTAGAGAAATCCAGGGGGGCACGCACAGTCCAAAACCGTACGCTCGTCGCAAAACTTGTGTTATGTGCGCCTGCCGTGTAGAAAGTGATGCGCATCGCTCGTCGCAGAAGTTGAACTTGGCTCAATTTCCCCGCGATGCAACCTTCGACGGAGCTGCGACAGCCTTCAATGCAAATTTTTGCAGAAAATGACTTTCGATCACATCGCTCGTCACTCATCACGTCGCAGAAGTGATATTGTGCATCGCGCTTAACATGGTGTCAACATGGTCGAGGGCCTCATCGGTACGGGGCGCCAAATATACATTTCATGTCGGATTTCACCGAGGGCAACTGCAGTAAACACACTAACTATTGACAGCATTGGAAGTATCACAACTACACTTGGCAGGTTATGTACTAGCTGAATGTCGTCTACAAGACTAGAAGATCATGTCAAAGCCATTTTACGACTTACTCTTCCAACGCTCCATGAAGGGCAACCAAAGTGAAGTTTGTCTCCTCCACGCAGCACGTGTGCGCTGGGCTTGCATGTCCGCAACTCTGCTCTGTGTCCGATCCCCAGCTGGATGCCGATGCCCACTGCATCACAGTCGGTGGTTGCAATAGCGATAGTGTGTTGCACTTGTCCACTGTCCAGTTTGATGCACGTCTGCGGAGGAAGTTGAAAATGAAGACATACACAGCGTGAATTCAGCATGTTCTTGTGGCCTCCCAATCGCCGTCCTGGAGAGAGTGCATTTCAAAAAATGCGAGTAGACAAGAAGTGTTTCACACCTTTTCGGCTGCGTCTTCTTGTCTTTGTTTATTTTTTCTTGATGCCATCAGTGATGTCTTGGCTTAACAGCTCTGCTCATACACATTTTCTTTTCTGTTTTTTTTTGTTGCTGAAAACTACTGTTGTGGACATTGAATTTCATTGAAAGCACGCACACCTACCTCAACCAAAAAAACCAAACAACCTGCCACCCATTTGCTGAATCTGTCCTCAGCACAAACTGTCAACTCCATCCAGAATACAATCCTACGACTCGTAGAGTACAGAACGATATTTGGTCTTAGGGTGGTAAGTGCAACACAGCTAGGGAAAGAAATCGTTGCACTGAGTCGACAAGAAGTTTCCAGTCTGAGGCCGCTGACAAGAGATCAGTCGTACCCAACTTTCGTCTGGCTGAACGCGAACTGGCTTCGCATTGCAAAAAAAGATGAAGTCAAGCTCATTAGAATTTTGGTTTGTACGGTGTTTGCAGCAGTTATTATTAGTATTAAAAGCATGTCCGCGTAGGTGGCGGGGGTACCACTTTCGCTTATGCCATTCAGGATTGATGTCTGAAGAGTAATACGATACAATGAAATGACAAAAGTGACGTCAACAAAAGCTGTTAGCAACAATACCAATAGGACTAATGGAAAACTTCATCCAAAGTATAAAATAAAATAGAATATGCATACAACATGTCTGGCGGAATCACGTGGATCACGAGAATCAGTCATGTTAGGTCGGGCGGGCTCCACGCCATGCCTGTCGGTCTGCTGCCATTGCGCGGACTGCGTCAGCATCTAGCGGCTGGTGGAGGGTAAGTCCATGCCATGATGACAGTGCAGATTCGAATCTCCTCACGCATGTTCCTGACGATGACCCAGAGTACGTTGTCGTGCCTCCAGGTGTAACGTCCCTGGTCCAGTGCTACGCGGCAAGTGCCAAGCAGGTGGTGTGTAGTACAGGCCCATGCACGGCACAAACTACAGTACGGATCCACCACCGTGTTTCCCCAACGGTGAAGGTTCGTCGGAGAAGGTAGTACGTCCAGGGTTGACGGAAGAAGAAATTTCAAATCGTTACCAGTACCACCATACAAAAGGGATTTCCACGAGAGGTCCAGCCACATCACCGAAGTGAGAGAGAGACATAGAGAGAGAAAGAGAGAGAGAGAGTAAGAGAGAGAGAGAGAGAGAGAGAGAGAGACAGCGAGAGAGAGAGAGAGAGAGAGAGAGCGAGAGAGAGAGAGGGAGAGAGAGAGAGAGAGAGAGAGAGAGAGAGAGAGAGAGTGAGAGAGAGAGAGAGAGAGAGAGAGAGAGAGAGAGAGAGATAGATAGAGAGAGAGAGAGAGAGAGAGAGAGAGAGAGAGAGAGAGAGAGAATCAGGCAGACAGAGGATCAGACTCCAAACTCGAATTGCTGGGTCCTAAGTGGTTTGCCTATTATGACATATTGTGGCCAGATATTTGATGTACATGTACGTAAACGGTTGTGACAGGCTACCAGTGCCCTGTAAGAATTTCAAATATTTTGAAAGCAAACATATTGCGAGCTAACTTACCAGTCCGACGAGCAACGGAAGCCAGCATCACGTGTGGCTGGTATCTTCGATGACTCTGCAGCAGATTTTGATGACACTGTGGCAGACCTCCATGAAGCTGTAGCGGACCTCCATGACGCTGCAGCGGACCTCGATGATGCTGTAGCAGACCTCCATGACGCTGTAGCAGACCTCCATGACGCTGTAGCAGACCTCCATGACGCTGTAGCAGACCTCCATGACGCTGTAGCCGACCTCCATGACGCTGTAGCCGACCTCCATGACGCTGTAGCAGACCTCCATGACGCTGTAGCAGACCTCCATGACGCTGTAGCAGACCTCCATGACGCTGTAGCCGACCTCCATGACGCTGTAGCAGACCTCCATGACGCTGTAGCAGACCTCCATGACGCTGTAGCAGACCTCCATGATGCTGTAGCAGACCTCCATGACGCTGTAGCAGACCTCCATGACGCTGTAGCCGACCTCCATGACGCTGTAGCAGACCTCCATGACGCTGTAGCCGACCTCCATGACGCTGTAGCAGACCTCCATGACGCTGTAGCAGACCTCCATGACGCTGTAGCAGACCTCCATGACGCTGTAGCCGACCTTGATGACGCTGTAGCAGACCTCGATGACGCTGTAGCAGACCTCCATGACGCTGTAGCAGACCTCCATGACGCTGTAGCAGACCTCCATGACGCTGTAGCCGATCTCGATGACGCTGTAGCCGACCTCCATGACGCTGTAGCCGACCTCCATGACGCTGTAGCCGACCTCCATGACGCTGTAGCAGACCTCCATGACGCTGTAGCAGACCTCCATGACGCTGTAGCAGACCTCGATGACGCTGTAGCAGACCTCCATGACGCTGTAGCCGACCTCCATGACGCTGTAGCAGACCTCCATGACGCTGTAGCAGACCTCCATGACGCTGTAGCAGACCTCCATGACGCTGTAGCCGACCTTGATGACGCTGTAGCAGACCTCGATGACGCTGTAGCAGACCTCCATGACGCTGTAGCAGACCTCCATGACGCTGTAGCAGACCTCCATGACGCTGTAGCCGATCTCGATGACGCTGTAGCCGACCTCCATGACGCTGTAGCCGACCTCCATGACGCTGTAGCCGACCTCCATGACGCTGTAGCAGACCTCCATGACGCTGTAGCAGACCTCCATGACGCTGTAGCAGACCTCGATGACGCTGTAGCAGACCTCCATGACGCTGTAGCCGACCTCCATGACGCTGTAGCAGACCTCCATGACGCTGTAGCAGACCTCCATGACGCTGTAGCCGACCTCCATGACGCTGTAGCAGACCTCCATGACGCTGTAGCAGACCTCCATGACGCTGTAGCAGACCTCCATGACGCTGTAGCAGACCTCCATGACGCTGTAGCAGACCTCGATGACGCTGTAGCAGACCTCTGCTGTGTAGCAGTTCTCGATGACGCTGTAGCAGACCTCCATGACGCTGTAGCAGACCTCGACGACGCTGTAGCAGACCTCCATGACGCTGTAGCAGACCTCCATGACGCTGTAGCAGACCTCCATGACGCTGTAGCAGACCTCCATGACGCTGTAGCAGACCTCCATGACGCTGTAGCCGACCTCGTAGACGCTGTAGCAGACCTCCATGACGCTGTAGCCGACCTCCATGACGCTGTAGCAGACCTCCATGACGTTGTAGCCGACCTCCATGACGTTGTAGCCGACCTCCATGACGCTGTAGCAGACCTGCATGACGCTGTAGCAGACCTCGATGATGATGCAGCAGATCAAGATGATGCTGAAGGAGACCTTGATGACGCCGCAGCAGACCTCGGTGACGTCGTAGGAGAGAGAGACAGAGAGAGAGGGATAGAGAGAGAGAGTGAGAGAGAGTGAGAGAGAAAGAGAGAGAGAGGGGAAAGAGAGACAGACAAACAAAGAGAGACAGAAAGGGAGAGACAGGGAGAGAGAGAGAGAGAGAGAGAGAGACAGCGAGAGAGAGAGAGACAGCGAGAGAGAGAGAGACAGCGAGAGAGAGAGAGAGAGAGAGAGAGAGAGAGAGAGAGAGAGAGAGAGAGAGAGAGTGAGAGAGAGAGAGAGAGAGAGAATCAGGCAGACAGAGGATCAGAATCCAAACTCGAATTGCTGGGTCCTAAGTGGTTTGCCTATTATGACATATTGTGGCCAGATATTTGATGTACATGTACGTAAACGGTTGTGACAGGCTACCAGTGCCCTGTAAGAATTTCAAACATTTTGAAAGCAAACATATTGCGAGCTAACTTACCAGTCCGACGAGCAACGGAAGCCAGCATCACGTGTGGCTGGTATCTTCGATGACTCTGCAGCAGATTTTGATGACACTGTGGCAGACCTCCATGAAGCTGTAGCAGACCTCCATGACGCTGCAGCGGACCTCGATGATGCTGTAGCAGACCTCGATGACGCTGTAGCAGACCTCCATGACGCTGTAGCAGACCTCCATGACGCTGTAGCCGACCTCCATGACGCTGTAGCAGACCTCCATGACGCTGTAGCAGACCTCCATGACGCTGTAGCCGATCTCGATGACGCTGTAGCAGACCTCCATGACGCTGTAGCCTACCTTGATGACGCTGTAGCAGACCTACATGATGCTGTAGCAGACCTCGATGACGCTGTAGCAGACCTCCATGACGCTGTAGCCGACCTCCATGACGCTGTAGCCGACCTCCATGACGCTGTAGCCGACCTCCATGACGCTGTAGCAGACCTCCATGACGCTGTAGCAGACCTCCATGACGCTGTAGCAGACCTCCATGACGCTGTAGCAGACCTCCATGACGCTGTAGCAGACCTCGATGACGCTGTAGCAGACCTCCATGACGCTGTAGCCGACCTCCATGACGCTGTAGCAGACCTCCATGACGCTGTAGCAGACCTCCATGACGCTGTAGCAGACCTCCATGACGCTGTAGCCAACCTCGTAGACGCTGTAGCAGACCTCCATGACGCTGTAGCCGACCTCCATGACGCTGTAGCAGACCTCCATGACGTTGTAGCCGCTCTCCATGACGCTGTAGCCGACCTCCATGACGCTGTAGCAGACCTCCATGACGCTGTAGCCGACCTCCATGACGCTGTAGCAGACCTCCATGACGCTGTAGCAGACCTCCATGACGCTGTAGCAGACCTCGATGACGCTGTAGCAGACCTCCATGACGCTGTAGCAGACCTCCATGACGCTGTAGCCGACCTCGATGACGCTGTAGCAGACCTCCATGACGCTGTAGCCGACCTCGATGACGTTGTAGCAGACCTCCATGACGTTGTAGCCGACCTCCATGACGCTGTAGCAGACCTCCATGACGCTGTAGCAGACCTCGATGATGATGCAGCAGATCAAGATGATGCTGTAGGAGACCTTGATGACGCCGCAGCAGACCTCGGTGACGTCGTAGGAGAGAGAGACAGAGAGAGAGGGATAGAGAGAGAGAGAGTGAGAGTGAGAGAGAAAGAGAGAGAGAGAGAGAGGGGAAAGAGAGACAGACAGACAAAGAGAGACAGAAAGGGAGAGACAGGGAGACAGAGAGAGAGAGAGAGAGAGAGAGAGAGAGAGAGAGACAGCGAGAGAGAGAGAGACAGCGAGAGAGAGAGAGAGAGAGAGAGAGAGAGAGAGAGAGAGAGAGAGAGAGAGAGAGAGAGAGAGAGAGAGAGAGTGAGAGTGAGAGAGAGAGAGAGAGAATCAGGCAGACAGAGGATCAGACTCCAAACTCGAATTGCTGGGTCCTAAGTGGTTTGCCTATTATGACATATTGTGGCCAGATATTTGATGTACATGTACGTAAACGGTTGTGACAGGCTACCAGTGCCCTGTAAGAATTTCAAACATTTTGAAAGCAAACATATTGCGAGCTAACTTACCAGTCCGACGAGCAACGGAAGCCAGCATCACGTGTGGCTGGTATCTTCGATGACTCTGCAGCAGATTTTGATGACACTGTGGCAGACCTCCATGAAGCTGTAGCAGACCTCCATGACGCTGCAGCGGACCTCGATGACGCTGTAGCAGACCTCCATGACGCTGTAGCAGACCTCCATGACGCTGTAGCCGACCTCCATGACGCTGTAGCCGACCTCCATGACGCTGTAGCAGACCTCCATGACGCTGTAGCAGACCTCGATGACGCTGTAGCAGACCTCCATGACGCTGTAGCAGACCTCCATGACGCTGTAGCAGACCTCGATGACGTTGTAGCCAATCTCGCTGACGCTGTAGCAGACCTCCATGACGCTGTAGCCGACCTTGATGACGCTGTAGCAGACCTCCATGACGCTGTAGCAGACCTCCATGACGCTGTAGCAGACCTCCATGACGCTGTAGCAGACCTCCATGACGCTGTAGCCGACCTCCATGACGCTGTAGCAGACCTCCATGACGCTGTAGCCGACCTCCATGACGCTGTAGCAGACCTCCATGACGCTGTAGCAGACCTCCATGACGCTGTAGCAGACCTCCATGACGCTGTAGCAGACCTCCATGACGCTGTAGCAGACCTCGATGACGCTGTAGCAGACCTCGATGACGCCGTAGCAGACCTCCATGACGCTGTAGCAGACCTCCATGACGCTGTAGCCGACTTCGATGACGCTGTAGCAGACCGCCATGACGCTGTAGCCGACCTCGATGACGCTGTAGCAGACCTCCATGACGTTGTAGCCGACCTCCATGACGCTGTAGCCGACCTCCATGACGCTGTAGCAGACCTCCATGACGCTGTAGCCGACCTTGATGACGCTGTAGCAGACCTCCATGACGCTGTAGCAGACCTCCATGACGCTGTAGCAGACCTCCATGACGCTGTAGCAGACCTCCATGACGCTGTAGCAGACCTCCATGACGCTGTAGCCGACCTCGATGACGCTGTAGCAGACCTCCATGACGCTGTAGCAGACCTCCATGACGCTGTAGCAGACCTCGATGACGTTGTAGCAGACCTCCATGACGTTGTAGCCGACCTCCATGACGCTGTAGCAGACCTGCATGACGCTGTAGCAGACCTCGATGATGATGCAGCAGATCAAGATGATGCTGTAGGAGACCTTGATGACGCCGGAGCAGACCTCGGTGACGTCGTAGGAGAGAGAGACAGAGAGAGAGGGATAGAGAGAGAGAGAGTGAGAGAGAGAGTGAGAGAGAAAGAGAGAGAGAGGGGAAAGAGAGACAGACAGA